TTCTTCAAGCAATTCAATATATAATAAAAGATTAAAAAGAAGTTTCAGTTAAGACTATCTATAACTATTGGCATCATACAAGAATTCTTCTGGCCCTGAAGTTCATGAATTATCTGATAACATTCATAAAACCAATAATTCAAGCCTTAATAAACTTATTAGTATACTTAATAATATGCATTATCTTTCTAATTCAATAAAAGTTGATAAATTACTTACAATAAGTGAGGAGAGTCTTGTTTGTAAGGTTCCTCTAGATAACCAGATTATTAAAAAGTTTGCTTATACATTCAGAAAAGATAAGAGTGTTGGAATTATAGATGATGAAGATATTGAGATCATGGATAATAAAAATAATAATAGTATTGAAATTGCAATTGTTAGTAGTAGTTCTGCATTAAGTAATCTAAAAAGTGTTTGAACTTTTTTGCTTCAACAAAAGAGCTCAAATGAGCAATTAAAGTTAGTTAATTTTTTTAAAAAATTTATTAAAGCAAAAATAGTCAAGTCTGCTCAACAGACTTGTATAAATAATTACTTTAAATAAAGAAATCATACTTTATTTGATTTATATTTGATGTATTATTATTTAATATTTAAATTTTATTTTATTTTTAAATAATTGTCTGAAGCATAGCTGAGAACACTATATTTCTAGACATTTTAATCTGTCAAAGCATGTGACAGACATCTGTCATGGCGCGTATCTAACCAATATGATTTCTTCTACATATTACTTAATACATGACTAATATAATACACAGATCCATTTTTTATTACTTTTTACATTGTCTAACTTGACTCTATTTGCTATTACAATTTAGCTAACCCTCATGTCTTTTTTATCATTATTACTAAACTCTCCATCTCAAGAAACTTTATGTAGACCAACCATCTTTTGTTTGTCCCAATTTGAGTAGTTTTCACCATATTGCAATTTCTCTATATTATGAGTACCTTATAGTCTCTATATAAAACCCTACCTGTAAACATTTTAACTTGACTACTATTAATAAAAGTATATAAGTTTTCTTATTCGAACAGA